GATGCTTAGAGCCAGCAGAGTGAGTTACTGCCATGTTTAACTTTAACCCGGCCTCCTCCCGCGGACACAGCGAAGAACGTTTATGGGATCAAACGGAATATCGTCCGTCTTCGGAAGCCTTCCATTCTTCAGTCCAGACTCGACGACGACGGTGGCGGTCTAAGTCAGTGTGACGTCACTTTTCAGGGACATCGGCGGCTGCGAGATGGGCGGCGTGTGGGCGAGGGAAAGAGACTTGGGCAAGGCTCGGACTCTGGCAAGGAACGCTTCGCTACCAATGGCTGCGAAAATCACTGCAGGGACACGGGAGGTGGGGCCAAGTGACCTTTTAAAAGGAGCAAGCGGCTGCGAGAACGTGCTCTTTGACGATGTAGATACTTCTGTAGAGATATATTAAACAGAGTTTATCGCGAAACACCCTCCGTCTGCCGATGCCATTGCCTGGAGTCGTCCTTCGGCTCCTGTCCTGGTCTGGCCGTACTTGATCCTGCGTGCGCTGCGCCGCCATGGAGAGGCAGTGGGAGCCTCGCTGTTTGCAACTATGACGCGCGCCAGCCAATGGAAGCCTATATATCAGATTTCGGTCACAGACGATAGGCTTCGCTCCATTGGGACAGGGGAAGGTGCCGTTTGGCGCGACTTCAAAAGCTGATGACGTCGGTTCTCTCCATAAGACAGTTATTACTTTCGCATCAATAACAACAAGCTCCGCCCTTAATTATACGTTCCTCAATCAACTCTCGAAAAGTTCGACCCGCCGGATTCTTCCTTGTTGCATCGGTTGCCGAAATGTAGTGAAAGCAGTCCGCTTTATAGGTAAAGAGCTTAGATTGTAGAGAGAGGGGGTCCATCTGAAGACATGGGGGTGTTTGCAATTTAATAGTGGACGCCTCCTTATCCGATTTGTCCCAAATGCGTATGCGCTTTGTCGTCACCTGACGAGTATAGGAGAGCAGGCGGAAAGGCAGAAACGTTCGGAGACAATCAACGTGTTTATCACCGACTCGCAGCTCGTGTTGCAAACGCGGCCCATAACCCACCTGACCGCCCTGGTCGAGCAGTTGGGCACTCTCTGTAATGCTGGCTCTCTAACTAGAGCTAAAGGAACGCTGCTCCGGTTATCGCTTACGACATGTAGTCAACATCCAGTTAAACCATTAATTAAACAATCAAGGATTGCTTCTCTCATCTTCAGGATTTAATTACTCGGGAGTGGTTGTGATTGTAGGACTAACTGTTAAGACATCTTATATATTTCAATTTAGTATTGCAAGCGACGTGTGACTGCATGTATGCTATTGTCAACGGTTCTAAAATCAAAAACAACAACAAAACATTTAGAAGCTGTTCGTTTAGAAGTCAATGACGAGATGAAGTATTTGCGTCCCGAGAGCTGGTTTTCCCTCAGTTAGTAAGGTATAGTGGGAAAGCATAATATAGGTGTGTCTACATTGCAAAATATGTTTGCGTGTTGTCTTTTTAAACATCATGTCTTAGGCGGAATACAGGCATCCTTATCATTTTCCTAACCCACCACGACGAACGTAGATGAAAAAATGTCTGTAATCGCCGCTAGCGGCTTGCGTTTTTACAAAACAAATATTTGATATTGTGTTGCTGGAAATTTTTTCCATGTGTATTTACTGCATATATTAAATTTATCTGTCAAATATGTAAAGCTTTCACAAGGCTTCAAGGTAAAAAACCGCGTGCATTTTCAAGTATAAATAAAAACGAAGTTCCAGAGGTCATGACTTTCATTATTTAAAGGCAAAAACCGCAATGGAAATTAGATCCAGGTTGTATGTTTTTGGTTATTTAGAACCTTGATTTCACCACGAGTTTTCGGGTTTAATAATTCAAGCGTGACCATATGCACACAAGGTAAAAATCATGCTGAGGAAATCAGAAAAGAGCTAATACACCAGCAATTGTGCTTAAAATTGTTGACATCGTTTTAGCAGATTGCCGGATAACGGTGCGTGAAAATCAGAAAGCCGCGGGTATCTCTGATCACAGAGTAGTTTATATTTTACATGAAAGAATATAATTTAAAAGAACTTTCTTCAACATGTGTGCCGCATTTCCTCAGTCCGTAGCAAATACTTTAGATTCAGCACTTGCTCGGGATCAGCAGAAATGGACATACGCAAAGACTGAAATCATCGCAAATCCATCCTATTTGCCTGATTTGTCTTTCTGGGAATTCCACTTATTACCGACACTCAAAACATTCCTGGCCGGAAATAAATTTCGGTCCAATGAAGAGGTGATCGAAGCTGTCAACGGTGTTTTTGCGGGACGCCAGAGAAATTCCCTCCCGGGAAAGAATCGAGAAGGTGGAGAGACGTTGGATCAAACGTGTTGAGCTTCAAAAGGATTAAGGCGAAAAATAAAATACACTTTGAATCAGATTTATTTTGTTTTCATTTTATTCCGAAAACTTTTCAATGTGTCATTTTACGTGGGTATTTTTTTTTTTTAAGTGAAACGTTCTTTGGCTGGCCTGTAGGGGTTGCAATTTGCCAGATACAGTACAAAGCCCAAAAATTGGACCGCGAAGCTCGACGCTGATTGGCTGGTGGAAAGGACACGCGATGAACGCTGACTGGTTGATTCCGGTGAATATGGAAGGTTCTGGAAAACCTGTGGGCTTTAATACACGACTAGCGCCAGTACCTTACGATTCACGTGTAACACAATTGCCCAGAAATTTGATAAACAATTCTTTTCTTTTCAGATTTTTTTTTTTACGTTCATAGATTTGTGGTTTGACGTCGATTGGATGTGGAAGCTTTATTCTTTCGGATACATTTAGAATATACGCAATACTCTCAAGTTTGCGGGCTTTTTCATGGCGTCAGGACGAGGCAATGCGACGTCGGCACGCGTTAAACGAAATAATTACAGCCGTTTATCTGTGACCCCATAAACAATGCACAGCACATAGCAGCCATGAGTGAAGTTATAAAAGTAGATCGCGCAACGTTTCGATGAAGCTGACAATAAAAGTCGGAATTAAAAAGGCACAATAAAAAGACGGGTTGTGATAACAGTTATGCAGAACCAAAACTATGTAATAATAAAAAACAAAAAAACAAAAAAAACTTTATCTTAAAGGGGCGATGCAACAATTTTTGTACTTTGCGCAAATACCACTTAGAACGGATCCCTGACGTTAATGACCTACGAAACACGGGTTCGTTTTTCACCCCATGCAATAGAAATCCCCCTCCCCCCCCCCCCCCAAAGAAAAAAAAAAAAGAAAATTAAAGAAAAACGATTATCGTTCACCTTCTCAACTCGCAGCCAGAACAAGCGACCACGTGATCTGGAGCCGATTATATGCCGCCAATGGTGATCATAGCCATGCGCTATGATTACCATTGCTAGCAAATGGTTAGCAAAGCACAGGACAGGCGCTGAGTTCCAGACATTGTTATGGCTTTTCTATTTTCGTCGTTGCAGCGATTGGACACGGGCCACTACCCGAATTCTTCTCGAGCTAGTAATTATCACGAGCCCAAATCGAGTGCCCACGCAATGTTCGGGTCCAATCTATGAACCGCATTCAAATATCGTCATTGGGGTGTACTGCGGTTCCCACGTTACGTCATAAAATTTTGCAAAGGAGAGATTACATGAAAATGGTCGCTTTTGTCGTTAAAGGGATACTTCAACGAAATTTGAAATATTCCCGTCGTGTTCAAAAATAGTTTGAATATGATCCACAATATCCGTAAATGACAATCGCACGTTTGTATTTTGATCCTGGTGGTTGTATTTTTAGTTATAAACGGCCCTCTCTGGCAAGCGCTCGTAGAAGGCCCAGCTTAGAGCACGTGACATCCAACGCAATCGTGACGTAGGTCGTCTCAAGACGAGCAAAGCTACGGCGAGGCTGACGTCGAGAGGATGGCCTAGTCGTTCCAGCCACCGAAGCGGCTGCTTTTGTACGAATTTTGAGTGACGGGTTAATCTTCTATAATCTTCTAGGGGGACAATAGCGACTTCTGCGACACACAAAAGGGATTCTCGGGAAGAGGGGAGTTCCTCCTTCCCCCCTTCTCTCGTCGTGGCCGAAAACGAGACAACCTCCGTCACGAGTTGTCAAGGTTCCTAGACGAGCATTACAAACGAGGCGTTAGCGACATCCACCAGGTGCTTAGTAGAAGAGCGTGTTGGTTGAAGTCATGGATGAAGAAAGAATAAACAATTAAAACAGGGACAACACAACTACATCTTTCAATGAAAGATGTAGTTGTGTTGTCCCTGTTTTAATTGTTTATTCTTTCTTCATCCATGACCAGGTGCTCTTTGCTAATAGTTTAATTCGTTTTAAAATTTTTTTTCGAAACTTTTTTAACAAGATGTTGGTATGTTCCATGTGATACTGCTCTTTTGAACACATATAGACCAAAAAAATGAGCGCCGAAATTTCGTTGTAGTATCCCTTTAAAATTACAACGCAACAAAGAAGTTTCTTGGCTAGAGGCGTTGCGTGCGAGTACTCTTGAGTCTCACTAGTACCAGTAAGCTAGTGTAAAGTGAAAAACATTCAACTTGAATATCGTTGCACCGCTCCTTTAAATTTACTTGGAAATAGAATGCGCGTCCGAATTACTCCCCCCCACCAAAAAAAAAAAAAGCAGAAAAAGAATAGAAACAAAGATGGTTTTTAGCTAACCGAAAATCATGGTGAAATTCAGATAACGTATTTTCTTACTTGGGAGTAGTACTTGCTCACACTAGTGACTAAACAATAGTCCGGCTTTGAATGAGCTACAGCAATACAGGTAGAACACATATAAGACTGGCTGCAATATCGACCTCTTCTTTCGAAAAGCTATATAAAATATTCATGCTATCTTAAATAACCACAGCAAAACGGACCACCTGAGCAATGTCCCGTCACTGCTTCCTCTATGGAAGCCTCCGATCTGAGTATCACCGGCAAAATAACATATAAATAAGTTATTTATAAGGGACAAAACGTATCATTATCTCGACAACGAGACGTATGTAGGAAGGGCAGCGCTGGCGTAGCCTCCGCCATTGCCACCGTAACCTCCTCCCCCACCGTGGTCCCCTCCTCCGTGGCCACCGCCATGATGCTTGTGACCTCCGTAGTGATCATGCGAGCCACGATGGTATCCACCACCGCCATACTTATGACCACCGCTACCACGGTAGTGGTCCCGGCCGTGACCACCATGCTGTCCGTGATGGCTCTTGTAGTGGCCCTGCCCGTGCTGATGATGTTCGTCGCCACGCTTATTTCCTCCGTGGTGCTCTTTGTTATGGTGCCCATAGTGACGCCCTCCGTTATGGTGGTCTTGATACCCGTGATGCTGGTTGTATTTTTTTTTGTGGTCTCCGTCGTGGTAATCGTCGTGGTAGTTGCTGTGGTGTGCCGAGTCCTCCTTATGGTACACGTCCTTGTGACCGTAGTTCTTGTGGCCATAGTCCTTGTTGTGGTCGTGACCGTACTTGCCGCCGTGGTGTCCTTGGCCACCGTAGTGCTCTTTTCCGTGGTGGCTGCCCCCATACTCATCTTGGTTGTGCCGTCCGTGATGATCGGCGTTGTAGTTGTTGTGACCGTGTCCTTGCTGGTGGTGACCGTAGCGCCCGTGTTGGCCGTGATGATTATCGTGGTCGTTACCGTGGTGCTTGTAGTGGCCACCGTAGTTTGAGTGGGAGTGGTGAGAATTCTTGTTCCCGTGTCCGCCATAGCCTCCTCCGTAGCCACCTCCATGGCCAGTTCCTAGGGCAAGAAGAGAGTCGTCTCCAGCGTTGGCGGAAACGTCAGCGCAGTGGCAGTAGAGTACGTACGCAACCAGAATCTGCAGGAAAGAAAGTGAAAGGGTTTTCAATATTGTCACTGGGTTTGAATATGGTTTCTTTTTCTTTACATTTGACTCTGTTATTTACTTTTGATGCTGTAAAAACAAGCTTGCACAGGGCATTGCACCCTTTTGGCTTTACTATATCCCCAGATATTAACGTAAGCTATATTAGTTAAACGATTCGAATATTAAGGTATGAATATTTTTGTTTGACGTATTCCTCAAATACTACCAAAAAGTACCCGATGAAGGTTGGTTGTGTATTTTCTGCTGGAATATGAAAGGAAGCAAAACAAGAAAGACGGCAGAGGAACCCGTAGCACCAACTCATTTAAAACGGCAAGTAAAGTCATATAAGTCGTGCTGTGTATCTGCCACCGTTAGGCCTTCACACATCGTACCCACGAACGTATGTACATTTTATTCCCGATTCACCACGTCAACTGACAAAGTATTTTTTTTTTTTGCTAGATCTCTAGGCGAAATGAACCTGCCTTCGATTATAAGTTTATCACGGAGAGTAAACATTATTACGATGACTTAACACGCAGGGAATGAGTGCAGTACTGCCTTGGGAAAGTGTTAATACAAGCAGATAAAAAAAATAACCAGTATTTAGTTATAAAAATCGCAATACCGCGATAGACTGCTGTGCTTAAATTATTGTTTGGCCCTCACTTTAGTAAGCTGTGCACAGTGGCCTGCTAGAAATTTCACTCGACCACAGCACTCTCAAAATGGGCGCCCCCTTGAGAGCATGCGCCAGTGAAGAGCAGCGCTCAGAAGTCCGGCTTTTGGGTGCAGAGGGTGAAAAACCCGCTGATAGACATCGCAGAACGTTGAAGCGCTATGGAGGTGCCTGTATGTCAATTCGGCAGGTGTACGAGTGGTAAAACTGTTTCAAAACGTAGAGTTAAGACTAACTCTGGCCGAACTCAGACTTGAACGTCGCTGCACTAAATATCAGAAGTTGAACGGCTTGTACACAAAAAACCGCCGTGTGCCTATTAATGAAATGGCTAAAAAATTAAATATTAGTTATGGCTTCGTGCACCACATGATTCACGATATTCTGCAGTATGCCATAAGTGTCCGCCAAGCGGCTACCCAGACAACTTTCGCCAAACATTAAGAAGCCCCGTGTGGATGTGTCGGAGACCCTGTCCCGACGCATGCAATGAAGCTGAGGAGAGGATTTTATTTCAACGCATTGTCATTGAGGGCGAATTTTGAATCCACTATGGCCAACAAGAGACCAAGAGGGCAAGCAGCGATTGGAGGAATGCTTCGCCACCAAGACCAAAAAAGTTCAGGGCAGTTCCGACACAGGGCAAGGTTATGTTAGGTTATGCTAACGGTCTTCTGGGGCAATAAAGGACCAGTAGTCGAACATTACATGCCCAAGGGAAAAAAGGTCAACAGCACGTCGTATTGTAACCTTCGCAAAAGCAACTTAAAGTCTGTTATCAGGTCAAAGAGCCGTGGTTTGATGAACTTTGGTGTGTTGTTGCAGCATCACAATGCACGCTCCCACACAGCACGTGCCATAGCGTTAAACAATGTCTACATTTTGAATGCATTCATCATTCACCATACTCAAAGAGCCTAGCACCGAGCGATTTTAATTTGTTCGGACCGCTCAAAGCACTTCTGGGCAGAATTAATACCGTACAGGGAACGAGCTGAAAGCAGCGGGGCACCCCTGGCTTCGGAGTCACCCTGCGCGTTCAACAGATATCTGTTGAACGCGCAGGGTGATGGGAAAGGGGGGAAGGGGGGCGTGTTAAGAATCGGCAAGTGAAAAACAAAATAACTATTGTTGTTGTTATTATGCAAATGGAAAATATAATGCGGTTACACGATGACTATCTAACTCCTCTCGCGTTGATGTTATTTTTTGGTAGAGGTAACATTGAGCCCGTGCTATGAAAAGGAACTCACCTAAAATACAATATTTTTGTTTAAGCAAAACAGGTCCTCGATATATTTTTTTAAAAGCTCGGCGCGTACTTAGCATGAGGTCGGTGTCTTTTTTTTAAATTGACTTTTGTTCCAATCATTGCTCGATCATTATGATCACTGGCCTCAGTTTAACTCATGCGGTACGCTCCCCAAATGATATCTAAAGCATTGTGAATGCCAATGTTGCTTGATAGGCTTTGGAAATAGGTCACCTGAACCCGAAAATGGTCGCAGGCGGCAAGAAATTGTGCCGACCGTGCTGCATTTGGCAGCTCGAGACCACGGCTTTTGAAGAGAGGGCTGTGCTCGGAGACACAATGCTAGCCTGCTTCACGAACCTAACATTTCATTCGGAGGTGCATCAGAAACATAGATGAAAAAAAAAAAATCTTCTCCAGGATCAAACTGTAAGCTGGGAAGATATTATAATAGGAACATTTCAGTTTATTATGTGCCTCCTTCCACTTCTGCTTCTCCGCTTAGCTGGGACTGCGTCACCGCACTGGCATTTGTCGTTCGTCTGTTTGTTCTTTTAAGCTCTGTGCAATAAATAATAATAATGATAATAATAATAATAATAATGATAAGAATAATCTCTATGTAAATGACCCCAAAACAACCACAATGGTTGTTTTGGGTGCACCACATTGGTGCACCACATTGGTGCACCTCGATAAAAACACCATAAGAAACAAAAATATACATGATCGTACTCAAGACAGGCTAATGCAAAAACAATATGCAAAAATAAAGATGTGTAAAAAAATAATTACTCAACCGGCGGCGGAGAACAAAGATCGAGGCATATAGATGTCGGGGTCCGGAGTTGTGACACTGTTATAAAGCGACTGGATCGGAGAAAGGGGTGAAATGGGGTTGCGTTGCAAGCAAATATCAATAAAGATGAAATGTCTGGCAGAGCGCAAATTGACGGGATAATTAGCTTTACGAAGGAGCTGAGTCTAGGCAGTCGCACTATAGTATATTTGAAACCTTCCGTTGAAAAACTAAGTCACGGGCCTCTCTTCTCTTGGACAAAAGTGAAAAAAAAAATCTTCTGGCAGATATTTATAATCCAATTAAAAACGGCGTTCTAAATACCTGTCACATTATACACGGACTGAGTTTTTTTACGTGTTTAATATTCACAGCTCGTGTTTTTATAGTAAATTTCATATCATGGGGCGTAAATTCAAGTCGCAACCTCACCGAAGAGTTGAAAAAATAAGTCAAACTATAAGGTTTTCTAATATTTAAAGACAAGCGTGAAACAACTACAGACATTCTCATCGTGCTACACAGGATGAAAACAACAACATGATTTTTAAATGTTAAAGCTTTATCTAAACACACGCCAAGCTCGGGAAACGCGCTGCGACGACGTTTCATCAAGAAGACTAGTGAATTCAACAAAGGTATGAGGTCGGCATGACCAAAGAACTTTCGTTCAGCAGCAACTGATTTTGTTTGCATCACAGAATCACACGTGACACATCGCATTGTAATATATTGCAGTCTTCTGGGGACCTTTTGCAATGCTTTGCAATATATTTTAGAAAAAGGACTCTCTCAGTAATATACGTCTTGTGAGAATCATATACATGGCATGACGAGCATATCGGCTAAGAAGCGTTTCGTAAGGAATACCCCCCCCCCCCCCTCCCCCAATCAGGGCTATTCGGTTGAACTAAGAAATTGCGCCGCAAAAATGTGTTTCGAGTTTCATACGGTGCTCCAGATTCGAAGGCTTTCATATCACGTTTTGTTCCTCGGCAACTCGAACGGCGCGCACGCGCGTGACTTTTAAAGTGTACAACCAATAACTTTAAAAGAAGTCAGCTTCAAAGTTAGCGGCTTTGTGCTTCGCTCAAAACATCACGCCGCTGAACGATTTCGTCCGATCCTCATCTAAAGGCAACAATAAAACGAGGAGAGTCAGCGCTTTGAAGATGGATGATGAAAGAATGCCGGCAACTGAATTGATACTTTTGATAATACTTCTATTCTTTTTTTTTAGAACGTGGGGAGAGGGGGGCGAGAGGGGCGCGAGGGGCAAGGGTTGATTTCAAAATTTTGTCACGAACAGTCGCTGATCTCATATCCGTTCAAAAAGGCTGGGATTGTGGACTTTCTCGAAACGCACTGCAGACGCTAATCTTTTGACCCTATGGAATTGGACAACCAAAATATAAAGTGCAACTGAGTTGGATTAGGATCATTTGATACTGGCAATTTGGCTAGTGCTGTATACGATTGACAATTTCAACGAGCAGTACTATCTTTAGCACTGGGAAGGCGGTATCCGGCCATACTGCAATCCGCAGGATTGAGAATTCTAGTCGTAATCCACCAGGAGTCAGCGCGTTTGTTTTTCCTCCACGTTCTGTTGAACTGCGGCGCGTTGTAGGGCTTCTGAACTGCCGCAAAAAGTAAACAATGTGGATGTCTGTTTTTGCCTTTCAACTTTATAAAATATCAAACGCCAAAGCCAGACACAAAGAGGGTAACCAATGACAGGTCAGGTTAAACCAAGTAGATGGCGACAGCCCAATCAGTCATTTGGCTGGTGTAGATGTTGGGAGCACGCTCATTCACGTAAGATTTTGCAACGCCCAAAAAGACGTTATGCGCGCACACCGCACAAACTCTCTTAGTGAATCGCAATGACCGCCTTGCCAAGTACTTCGTGAAAAAATAAACAGCAGAAAGGGCTTGGCGACCTCGACCATGTCATCACAGGACAGCTAATGCAATCGCAGACGGACAAAATAATATATACAGCAGCCAATAACGAATGCCTGTCGCAATTAATTATCAGTAGACGTGTGGACATATTAGAAACTTCAAATAATTCGCAAATAGAGTTCGCTGCTCGATTGAATTCGCAATATACCTTTACTGCACGAAGTGTTCGAGTTCATCAATTATTCTGAAATTACAGATAAATTTGCTTAAACAACAAACAAAAACATAAGAATTTGATAGTTTTTACCGATTATCGTTGTATCTTGACGGCCCTTTGAAAACACCCGAAATAATACCATCATGAAAATTACTCAGAAATACTGCAGTCGTTTCCCGTTGTGCGAGACAAGCTTTGAAATAAGTATTTTTTTATTTAATACTATTTAAACAAAGCACACAAACAAATGTTTGAT